CCGTGGCTCAGAGGCTGTAGATCATTTCTTCTGAGCCCTTGGCCACAGCTCTTGCAGTGCCAGCTCCATACAGAACTCCGCAGAGAGGGATGATTTAGGCAGGCCAGGCTCTCCTTTAAAGTCTCTCCACTTCATTCCCTGTACTTCTACCCAAAGCACTGTGATATATCAGACTACTGGAATGAACCAATAAAAATTAAAACATGGAAAGGGAAAATTCAAACATGCCCATAATCCAAAAGAAAAGCACCCCCAAATTAAACCTCTCACAGGAAGCCTATTTGAGGATGCCCCTCAATTGCTGGTCTAGCTCCTTGCTCTCAGGTGAGTCCTCAATTCAGAGAACTTCCTTGCACCACCACAATCAAAGTCCACACCCCACTCCCCTGTAGGGGAAGTGATGCCTACCCATGAATTGACCCTTCCATAGGAGACACCCCTTCCCTGAGTCAGGGCAGTCCAAGGACTTCAGTATCCCATGGCAGAGCTCTTCTCTGGATTAGATAATCAAAAATGGAAGAGGGAGGTAGTGGCTTCACAGGGATGGTCCCAGGAGAGCTTTGACACTCTAGGTCCAATCCTGATAGTGTAAGGGGCAGAGGTCTCCACTTTCATCTAGATCATCCAGGAGGGAACTCATGGATCACTTATACACACATACACATATGCGTACACACACACTCTTCCACATTTCCAAAGACCTGCAGTATATTCTGTATCTACATTAAGCAAGAGGAACTATTGCTAAAGGTATGATCTAGTGGACATGGATTCCTGTTCTCAGTGCATTTGGTGTGTTATCACACGAAGCTGTGTTGTCTTCTAGCCCCAGCGGGCTACTGGGGCATAGGATGGGAAACCAGTCACTCTGCTTGTAAAGCACACCTGGGTCTGAATGGTCACACTCTGACCATAATCGAATCCCCAAGGCTCTGAAAGACTCCACTGACCAAATCACATGTTTAGGCAGGGCCCTGCTGCACTGTACCCATAAGAAGGGAGGCAGTGTTGGGGTGCGTTGCTTTCCTGAACAGCCTCACCCTTGGGTTGCACTGGGGCTTAGCCATATAGGCTTTGAGGATTTAGAAATGATGGTAAATCCATGTTTGTTTTAATCTGGTAATCCACAGTTTCACTGGCTTTGATCCTCACTCTTTTCAGCCTTCATCTTTCTAGATTAAGAAATGGTTTTAAAAAATATTTTCTGTTAACAGGCAGCCTCCCCTCTCCTGCTCTGTCATTCCAGGTATCCTTCTCTCTCTCTACTTTGCTTCCAAATGTTCACCTGCTTGCTTAGACTGGCTGCCAAGATGCTGGGCTCTGGGCCATGGCTTGAGGAAATAGTTTCCAAGTGTTTACTGCCTCTGGTTTATTTCATCTTATCTTTTTCGGGCTTCGAGTTGACCCCTCATTTAAATTTCCCAAGAGTTTCCAAATCAGTCTATGCCCATCCAAACTGAAATTCTGAAAGTTTTAAATTAAAAAGAAAGAAAGAAAGAAAAAAAAAAAAAACCACACAGCTTCCTTTAACCTTTCACTTTGCATTTTGAAGGCACATAATCAGTCTTGCATTCCATAAGCACCTAAAATTTGATTTTATTAATATCTCTAACACCCTAATGGTCCTGAATAATAAAATTATTCATTCATTTAAACTTCCACTTATGATTAGATTAAATGTTTCTGTGGTATGAGGATCTGGCTACAGATGTACATGTGACTTTTGAGGCAAAAGATCAAATTCCAAAAAGATTATTCTTCCAGATATAATGCATGGAGAGTGTAATGAGACTGTTAAGAGTGTAGACTGTAATATTATATACCCATAGCTGGAGAAATCTTACCCTAATTTACAGGTGATGTGATCCTGGGCAAGTTACTTCATTGCTAAGATTCAGTTTCATCATCTATCAAAATGAGGACAATAATAATATGTATCTTATGTGGTTGTTTGAGGATCAAATAAGATAATACTCATAGCACTGGGCCATAGAAAGAGCTTAGTCCAGGGACCAGCAGATGGTGTAATGGTTACATCGCTGGACTCCTGCATGGTCAGTCACAGTTCAAGTCCCAGATGCAGTGGCTTAAAACTCATGCCAGGTATGTGTGCATGTGTGCCCAAAATCCTGAGAGAAGAATGGAGAAGAGGGGGTTGCTGTGTGGTCATCTCCCCTGGGGGTAATTTCTTGCTTTCTCTGTCTTTGTCTCTCTGTCCAGTGAGTGCATATTCCCTATAGCAAAACAATCTCTCTCTCAAAAAAAAAAAAAAAAAAAAAAAGAAAGAAAAAGAAAAAGAAAGAGCTCAGTTCTCTTAAGCTATTATTATTCTGATGTTAGGTCTCTCAAGTGAACATCTCAGACATTGATTATGTCAGTATTTTTCAAGGGTAGATAGGGGATATGTGCATATATATGTGTGTGTGTGTATACATGTGTGTGTATGTATATATATGTATATATTTATTTATACACTCACACATCCACACACATCTGAATCAACTTAGATACGTGTGAGACATACAGATGCCTGTCCCCACCTCAGACATACCAGGTCCTGCTCTCTCACACTGAGGCGTGAGCGTCTGCATCCCATTCAGCTGCCTGGGTGTTTGATGTTAGCCATTTTCAGTTGTCCCAGTGCTGCTGACAAATGCCTCTCTCTTACTGCAGGGGTCCTGAGCTGGCCTGTGTGAGCTGCCCCGGTTAAGAGACTGTGGAGCTGGAAGTCTGTCCACTTAGGAATATGCCTAATTTTCTGGAAAATTGGCCTAACTTTTGGGAAAGCTGTTTCAGGCTGTTGTAAGGTGGAGTTCTATGCTGCAGTGCCCAGCACTACTCACCCTGGTCTCCCGTTCCTCCAGTTCTTTTCCATGTGAGAGTTAGGTACAAACTACTGGGCATGTGAAGAAAGAACAAGAAATAGGAGACAGGAAATGCTGTTAGAGCTGTAAGATCATCGATTCAGTAGGTTGGGGACTAAAGTGGGGAATTAAAAAGAAAGGAAAGAGAGTATAGCATCCAGGAAAGGGATTTCTTGATGCCAACCATTGACACCTTTGGACTCTCTGCTCTTTGTCCCTTGCGGACAGCTGCTGGGGTGGCATGAAGTGTTCGAAGGGGCTTTGGTTTGAGTAAATAGATATTTGTTGACAATAGGCCAGTTTCAATTTAGTTTCAGGCCATTAAAAATGTAGTTTCATTGGCATCTTCAAAAGGCAGCAATTGTTCCCTTTGCCTGGCACAACCACCCTGTGAGACAGGCTGCAACTTGTCCTGTTTGCCTGGCTTTGGTTGAGTCCCCAGGGAGAGGACGATCAGACAAGTCATTTTGAAAGCATATCCGTCTCCTGACAGGGAGAAGTCCCGTGAGGTGGCAGTTAGTCAGCTTCTTCCTCTATGTCCCCAAAGTAGGAGACCTGAGTAGCTCTTGTGCTCAGTATCTTTGGATCTGTGCACAGCCTGGCCCTTCTGAGGTGGCCTGGCTTGGTTGTGGTGGAGACACACCTTTGTGTGTATGATGAAGTTGGAGTTTAATAATTCCCTAAATTTCTAATCAGTCTTTTACAGTGATGGCTCAAATGTTCTGCCACTGGAATTAAGAAATGGGATTGTGAGGGGCTGGCAGGTGGCATAAAGGTTAAGGTGATGAACTCCCACATGGCCAACCACAGCTCAAGTCCTAGACCTAGAGGCTTGCTTTCTCACTTTCCCTTTCTCTGTCTCTCCCTGGTCAAATTAAGAGTAATAATATTAAGGAATTAAAAAAAGAAATGGGGCTGTGGTATCTTTCAGACCCAAGGGTAGGTACTTCTGGGCTGGGTGACATTGGGTTGGTGACTTAACTTCTCTGAGCCTTTGTCTCCTCATTTTGCCAGCAATGTTTTTGTGAAGAGTAAGAGAGATATTGCATAAGAAAACCATCTAGATACTTCGGCATCCAGGAAGTGCTCAGACGATGGCGGCAGTGCCCAGCGCTCACGGTATCAGAACGGTTGCTCTGGTGCTACTGTAGTTGCTGCAGTGGGACATGGAAAGTGCCCCCGACACTTCTCTTCAGAGATGTCATGTGCCTTCATGCCCTCAGCAAAGAGGATTTTACAGTATTAGGGGACTTCAAACACTTGGTGGAAAAATGGAGCTAAAGTATGAGTTTATTTTGGTGCAAAATTTTTGAAATCCATGCAGATTTTTCTTTTCATAATAGGCACATCCCATGAACTTTTCGAGGACCCCTTGTACAGTTAAGCATGGGTAGCTAAAGTACCTCCTCTTTACCTTGAAAGACAGTAGGGCTTCTTCAAATATAGGAATCAGGTGAAGTAATCATTGGATTTCAGTTGTAAACAATATGGCCAATCCTATAAATCAGTTTATAAAATGACACCTATTTAAGGACTTAAAGCAGAAATTCAGAAATATAAGGTAACAATAAATGCTAAACTTTGGGCTTCATCAACTGCATAGGAACTCTCAAGAGAAAGAGCAAGTATTTTCCCAGCATGTTTACAAAATACCCCTTTAGAAACAAAAAAGAATGATCTGCAGGTTAACATTGCTGTAGGGAAGATGTACCTTTTGGCGATATTAATATTTCATGGTCTAATGTTAGATACGAGAAACTTATGATTAAATATGTCTTTTTCTGAGGTTTCTACAAGGTACACACCTTCAATGAGAGGTGAAGGAGATTTTCCTTTCCCACCTTTTCCACCATTCTACCCTGCACCTCCTGGAAGCCAGGGCCTCTTGCCACACTAAAATAATTTTAAATCCATGAATAAATAAGATTCAACTACTGCAGAGTAATTATTGATTTCCCAAATTAATTGACAATATCTCAATCAATTAGAAACAATATTGGAAATTTCAAAAATAACCCAACATTTTATAACACAAACATATTTATTAGTTTTTTAAAAAGAGAATTTGTTCGTTATACAGAAAAGTAAAACCGTTGAAA